GCCATCCGTTCAGCACTAGGATCATCGGTGATTTGAATCACGACGAGTACGACTCCATCAACCCCGTTCACTTGAACGCTTCCGCTTAGCGATGTACAAGGGTATGTAGATGCACTCTCCTTCCCCTCGTTGCTAGATTACTCCATAGATTGATCTTGGTGATGCGTAGAAAATTTTAAATTTCTGCTACGTTCCCCAACACCAACATCCAGACGGACGTTGGTCGAGAGCTTGTCCAAACTCCATAGGACATGCCTAAGTAGGTCTGAGCATAGGAACAACATACGCATGGATTGAATCAACTTGCTCCTTGACGACCCGGTGTGCGTGGCAATGGAATCGCGGCAGGGTCAGCGCCCTAGCGCTCAGGGAGGTGTCGAAGGCGATGGAGACCGGTGACCATGCGAGAGGAGGGGGATTCAAGCCGAGATTGGATGGGGATCGTCGGCTAGCAACCGTGCGGGAGGAGCAACCTTCACATGAAGATTGGCTGGGATCAGAGCGAGGCAGGGGGAATTGGTAATTTTCTCGATGGGAGAGGAGTGGATCCGTCGCTGTATGTAGTTGTAGGCAGACTCGCAGGGGAATTTTTATTTTTCCTGATGAAGGGAAGACCGAGAGGCCGAGACGGGCTGTTGAGAGAGAGATAGCTATTGATCGATTGATAGGTGTTTGCAACTGAAGCTGACATGGCATCTTGATGACGTGGACAGTGTGCATGGTAAGAGAATAGAGAGAAGCGGGGAGCAACTTTTTAAGAATTGTAGATATGACCAATGGCCATGACAACCAGCACCAGTTATTAGTCAGTGTGATTTACTGAAAGTAAGAATTAAACAGTTTTTCCAGTGTTATTTGCTCAATTTAGGATTTTAAAAAAATTGTACACCATTAAACAAGAATTAATCTCGTACATTATGTTAGATTAACTAGAACAGTGGCCTGCAACATGCGCAAGCAACCTCTTCTAAATAGTTATCCTTCTTATCTAGTTTATTTCCAAAAAAGAATTATGCATATTTAGATGATTGTCTTAGATGACTCATTGCTAACATCTTCCCCCATAATGTGCAATAGAATAATGATCCATCTGCCTTCGATATTATAAAGCATGCTTTGATAGAGAAATCCAAACCTTGGCCAATAACTAATATTATTTGATTATAAAATTTATTTCATTTTCAATAAAATTAAACCTACAAGTATATGGTTTAATTATGTGACATAAAATTGATTTCATTGATTTGGTGTTAAGATCTATCTCTAAAGATTTGCGGGTTTTTTAGGGTTGATTAGCGATTATTAGTTAGTGGAAAAGTATATAGAAGAAATTATTATTCACAGGTTAAACTTGAATAATGAAAATTGACCATGTATATCACAAGGGAGAGTAACATTCTTTGATACTATAAATTTGCAACGACATATATTTCACATCTGAGTGAATACAACTAAAGTATAAAAACAAGAATTGTTGGTATTGTTGAACCATGAATTTTGTCCATTGGTTATTCAATGCAATAATTCTCTGTTAAGGCTGAAAAGAGGTGAATCAGCTAACTTGGAGTTTAACGTTTCATAATGACTTATTCCCCCAACAACAGATCATCTTTCATTTATCTACCAGATCACAGCAGTAGTTGCAGACAATTCTCAGAGTTTAACAATGTCACTAAATTGTTTGTCAGACTACATGACAATTTCAACAACAGTTTTAGTAAACTGTTTTTTTCTTTTTGAATCAGAGTTTCATTAAACTGTTTCAAGCACGAGAAAATTAGTAGTACCTCACTAAAGTACACCCCCAAAATATCATTTAGAGGAAAAAAAGATGTTTCTATTTTCCAAATTAAGTAATGCATGTTGTCTTGGTAAAGCATTGGGCGTTTCAAACAAACATTGTGCGTCAGATTTAACAGAATTGTATTAAAACGTTGTGTTAGATAAGTTTAAGGACCACTTCTTTGGGTTTTTTTTAGTTTTTGTATGTATGATTATGTTCCTTCGGGTACAAGTTTATGTATCAATAGTGGTATTAGCTCCTTTTTTTTTACTAGAAAAGAAAGCTACACGCAAGCTGACTCCATGGATTCCTCCCAGACTGCTACGTACAGCTAAAAAAAGGACTGCTACGTGCTGCTCGCAGCTCCCGGTTTCAGCGGAAGACACTTCGCCCATCCCTGTGCTTGTTGTCATCAGAAGAGAACAACCTGCTGTAGCACGTAACGCGCCGTGGACGACGTGTCGTTTCGTCACGCTTCTTTTCTCCTTCCTTCTTCTTGATGAGAAAGTTTTTGGTCAGTCACTCGGACGGCACGCTCGCCCGTCTCCGCACCGCGTGAGCAACCCAACCTGGGTTCGGTTCAGACCATGCGCCTCCCCTCCCCTGTGCTATCAGCAGAACCGACGCGACACGACGACGCGGAACGCGCAAACCGCACGTAGTACGATACGAATTGCGCGGCAAGAGCGACGGACGGAGCGAATGCTTTGCTTCCTGCCCAAGGACAAACCAAGTTCACCCGCAAAAAAAAAAAAAAAAAAGGACAAACCAAGTTGCCTGCCTGCCTTCCTTCCCCAGCAAGTCGAGAGTCGTCCTCTTCCTCGCCGCGGCACGTTCCCTTCCGCTCCCCGTCACAAAGTCAGAACTGATCCCTCCCGGTCGAGGGTCGCCGCCGACGGTGAGGTCGGGCTTACCAGGAAATCGCGCGGGCCGGCGTACATCGTGACCTAACCCTCCAACGGCTGCCCGTTAAAGTTAAACTACTCCGGCCGCCCCTGCATCGCACTGATGTCACTCGCACACTTGCAATATACAGAAATAACTGTTTTTTTCTGCTGAAGATACCCCAGCCAAACAGCTGGGAGTAGGAGTAGTACTGTAGTACGCAACATGAGTTGATGCATGGCTGATCGGGATGCACATGGTTTTGTCTGTCTGTCGTGGCTACCAAGGATGCAGCATGGGGCCTCCTGCCTCCATCGATCGATCGTTCTTTCCAACTTGCAGGCTCGCGGCATGATGAAGCAGCTCACGCTGGACCATGCACGAGACATCATGGCGATCCATCTAGACCGGACGCACGCACGCACCAACACCAACACCAACTCCAACTCCAAATCGGGCATGTGCAACCGCAGCGGCAGTGGTGACCGGTGACCGGTGAGAGCACTTGCCTGCCTGTGCGCTCTTTATCCGTTTCACATGCGTTCACGGCGTGCATGATTCATCGTTGATTAGTCGTAGATTCAAGGACACACCTTTTTTAAGTTTTGAGAGGGGATTCAAGGACGCACCTGGTTGCATGTGAATTCATGGATCTGGCCCGAAATTCCTGACCAGGGAAATTGGAAGGAGGAGAGGCGATGCGTGAAGCGAAGACCAACTACAGTGAGAGAGTGCAACCAGTAGTTTTTAAAGTTAAAACACAATTCTCTTCTGCTTAATTAATATATGAGGCAATCTTTGCCTCCGTTTCGAAAAAAGAAGAAGTTAAAACACGGTACCAAAGTCTCACGTCAAACGGATGGATGACAGAGGACTGATCGCGCCCGTTGAATCGACATTCCATAAAAAAAAACTCTGGTGTGGCGTGATCATCAGCGCGAGGAAACTTGTATTCCTCGTGCGCTTCTCCCTTGTGGTGGTGGATAGTCAAAGGGGCAGGAGGGGACAATCGGGGTGACGTCCTCAACCGGATCCTCTCAAATCAGCTGTCAGGTCAACGGAGAGAAGCCGGTTCATTATTACGAGGGAGAAAACGAAGGCACAAGCAACTGTGAGCAAGAAAAGAAAGTACTCCTCCCTAGTTGCTGCGTTTCGACCGATCAATCTCTGCACAACACCTCCATCAATCTGCCTCATGCACGTACGAGTGCGTATATGGCCGTATAACCTCCTTTAAAAAAAAAAAACGTACGAGTGTGTATCCACGGCAGATGCTGCTCCCGAGCCGATCGTTTTTCCATGTCCCCAAGTGCTCCGGTCAACTCCTAGAACTGAAAACCCTCGTCAAATTTTGGACTGGAACAAAGGAGGAAAAGTAGTTCTACTCTCTGGCCGCTCGTACTAATCCACGGCCACGGCGGATGAATCTCTCTCGGCAGCGCGCCAGGGAAGACCGGTCAGCACTCACACACGCTTTGTTTATGAGATGATTGGCCGGCCGTTAACGGTTGGCTATGCGCCTATGCTGCTGCAGCTCCACGCATCACATGGCCGGTCCATTTGCCCGAATGTGCGCGGCCTCGGTCACGTGGATTCGATGGGGGTTCGGCCGAGGGATGTCGTACCACATGGCGCTGCCCCTGAGCCAAAGAAGATTCACGTACACTGTTGTTATCGTCGTCAAAACATGACACCACACTTGTGTTTTTATCATGTTTTTCTCTTTCGGAAACATAGGTTTTGTCTTTCCACGCGTCTGGAGCGTGTCATTCTCTGTCTTTTATGGTCGATTTGACACTTGGCAGACAGACACGACAGGTGTGATTTATCTGCCGAATAATAATACAGTTTGTCTAATTCACATCTACAAATTTTTTAAGGATGTCACATCTAAACTCCTACAAGTATATAATGTCGTGTTTGTCTACAAGTATATAAGAAATAAGAATTAACCGGAAGCTTCTCCAGGCGCGCTGAGACGCGGACGCATCTGCTGACGCGTCGCCACCCGTGGCGGCTCCCGGCGCGCCCCGGGCCCGAGGCTGCTGCCGTGGAGTAGGAGTAGCAATAGGCCCTGCGCTACGCCTCCCACAACCATCATCCATCCCCGACCCCAGCACCCACGCACGCACAAGAAAAACTCCTCCGCCCCGCCGTCCCCCCCTCCCCGCTTAAAACCTCGGCTCCGACCGAACCCACTGCCCCCTCACACCCGCCGCGCCCCGATTCGTCGTCACCACTCCCACCAGACCGTCATCCACCGTCGACTGCTGCCCGGCCGGATTCGATCTGCCACTACTAGCGCAGCACGGCGCCTGACCGATCGGCCGGCATGGAGAAGAAGCTGCCGCTGCCGCTGCCGCTGGCGCACGGGGAGGGGCTGTGGGCGCGGCCCTGGCGGTGGGCCAAGACCGCCTTCTTCCTCGTCTCCATGCTCGCCTCGCTGCTCCTCGTCTGCGCGCCGCCGCTCCTCGTCGTCCTCCTCGACCTGCTCCTCCCGCCCGCGCTCCTCTCCAACTTCCTCCGCGCCTCCTCCGCACACACCCTCCTCGACCAGGCCAGGGGCTTCCACTTCCGCTCCTCCCTCGTCGACCTCCCCGCCGTCTCCGCCGCCCGCTCCCTCCTCATCCTCTGTGAGCGCCCCGCCCTGCCCCTCCGCGCTGTCAATTTCCTCATCTCGAATCGACTCCAGATTTTGTTCCTCTGTGAGTTTACTAATCGTTCGGCCGATTTCGTGCAGGCGCCTACACGGCGTGCGGCGGAGGCGCGGCCTACCTGTGGGTGGCGGCGGCCTGCAGCGTCGGCTCCCTCTTCTACGTCCTCGCCAAGGCCGTCGCCGTCTTCGGCGTGCCGGCCGACGGCGCCGCCGGCCTCGAGCTGCACGGCAAGGGCCAGCTCCTCGCCGTGGAGGCCATGTTCCTCATGTCGCTCGCGCTCGCCGCCGCGCACCTCGCCATGGCATACCGGGCCAGTAGCCGGGAGAAGCGCCGGCTGCACGTCGTCTACAGAATCGACATCGAAGCAGTGAGTCCCCTCACCCCCTCCATGCCAATCTTCGATCGCATTAAACACCATCGCCATGATCAGTGTGTCAGTAGCAGCCACCGTCACACACGCCAAACAAACAAACAACTAAAATTCAGATAAACTGGAGCTTTGCAATTCGCGATGCAAGCTCGCAGGAAAGAATTTTAATTTTCAAGATTCCGCAGCACAATCCAGGCGCTTCTTTGGGTGTATAGTAGTATAATTCATCCATTCATCCCAGCGCTTTCGGCCTGACAGCTGATCCAACTTTGACACTTTGTGTGCAAAACGCGCCAGCGTAGTGTGTAGTGTAATCCGAGGCGCGCCGCGGAATCTACTCTACTACTTTCCCCAGCCGGCGCAACTGTACCGAGCAACACGACAGCTCGTGCAACGGGCGGATGGGAGCCTGAAATTCTGAATTAGTCTACTTGCGCCTGCTACCGGGCGCATAGATTAACCCAACTGGTCAGTGCTGCACCACATTAGCTTAGCTGTACCATCAAATTTTGATTAGTGAGTAGTGTGGTTGCTCCTAGCTAGCTGACTCCGGGTGCTCCAAGGACGGACGGACGGACGGAGAGAGTCAAATTCAAACAGCGCCAACCCTGCTCAAAATCCGCACGAAAACCGGACGGAGACACGGTCCAGCAGCTGCTGAGACACGTTTCGCCACACGTGGACGGTACCATGGTCGACTGATCTGGACAGTGCGGGCCGACTTGTAGAGATATCTGGATGGATGGTCGCTGCGGCCATCTGTGCATGCACAATGGGCTAAAAATGACCTCACAACCGCAACCAAAAACCCGGCGTGTCACTGTCGCGCAGTGTGGCCGCCTGATGAACCTTCTTTGCTTCCGTCGGAAGCACAGCTCGACCGATGGCTCTTTTGGCGTGATCTTCGTAGCGGAAGAATCTCCTCGACTTCGTCAAATGTTAGCTGTCGTGAAAGCGAACAAAAGTTACAGCTGTTTTGTTACTGTCTCGTTACTTGTCGGGTTACTAGTAAATTAACTCGGGTTGTTTGTCAATTGTGTAGGTAAGGTTAAAGGGAACCCACACGCCCAAGTCGCTGAAGCAATGCATCGTATGACACCCATCCATCGTCCGGTCGGATGGGAATGGATTCTGGAGAGGCGACGGCAGGGGTCTCTGCTTCCTCCCCCGGTCTCAATTTTTTGGCTCGAGCAGTAGTTTGTCTACACTCCGATTGATCGATCGATCCACACGACGCGCCATGTGTATATGTTACCCGCACCAACGTCCCTCTCTCCCAAGTGGACATAGTGTGGAGCTCAGCTGTAAATATGGTGGGACATTTGTGCTTCGGCCTCCTGCAAAAGGGATGAGCCGTGCGGCAGATGCGATTGCTGTTTTTTCATCATCTTCTTCTTCTCTCTGTTTTAGTTTCAATCACTGGACGTCACCATGTCTGACACTCTGACCGAAACTGTGAATTGTCAAAAGAACGAAATTTGGCGGACTGGTAAAATTAATCTGGGCGCCGGGAAGAAGTTTCAAACACGTTTTTCCTGCCGTAGAAACTTCAGGCCAGCGAGTCAAGTAATGACGCACGGGACAATAGTTGGTAAAAGTGACTTGAGAGGAGCTTTCCGATTTGCCCAACGATCTAGACCTTGACAAATGGGAAATGGAAGACTTTGAAGAAAAAAAATTGAGAAAAGAAAGAGGACTTTGATTTGTTGCTTCTGGAAATCTGGGATACTTTTCAGCATGGGAAAAGGCCAGCATATCACGAGAGGATGGCTGCTAAACCGATCTGGATAGTGTTCTTTTTCTTTAGCGAACCCATCTGGATGATGTGCTCCTCAGGGGCCGTCATTGCAACAAAGGCAAACATATTTTAGTAATTCAATATTACATGTTGTACTACTCGAAATTAGAAGAAAAAAAGTATACTTTTCATAATTAACGTGATCCTTCCGTCCAATGTCAGATGCATTTTTTCATAAATTAATTCATGTTATTTTTTAAGGGGATGAGTACAAGAAAGAAAAGAAAGTACACCGATTTGGTTCAGATTATTTCAACTTACTATATATATATATATATATATATATATAGATTACCAAAAAGATATAGAAACCCAAGCGGAGATGACGCGTGCGAAGGAAAAAACCGAGGAGGAGCTGAGGCAAGCCTGAATGGCCCGCCTATCCAAACGTGTGCTCTCAAGTTTGAGATCATAGGAATGGGGAGCAACTAACTGACGGGTATCCCTTCGGGACATTCCTACCAGACAGTGTGGGCAACCGAGAAGTGGCTCATCCTATTCGCCGCCTGCACGCGACAAATAGAGAAGACTTCGCTGAATAAAGGGCAAATGGGCCAGCCCAATCTACCCATGACCGGGGTTTTCTCTCTTCAGTTGTTAGTAAGTTCCTCACCAAAAAAACCGAATGTTGTTTTTTAGGAGCTAGATTGTAAAAACCTAGTAAAATTGAAGACAAAATATTTGATGAGATTGTTCAATATGTGTTTTATAAAAAAATGTAACTCTATATTGAAAAACTGTTCAATGTATGTTAAAAAATATTTATCGTATAATTAAATAAGATCATCGGACATTAAAAAGGGTTAATGTATACAACAAAAATGCTTGTATTGCCATCACTCCCCTCGCCTAGAATGCTTGGCTATGGGACAACCCATTATGGTGCTAGCTCTAGATATCATAGCGTGTATATATCGCTCAAACAAAAAGAATTGTGTTTTTTCATCTGGTTTTTTTTTCACGAACAACAACAGAAAAAATTGTATCGCTCAAACAAGTACTCCCTCCATTCCAAAATATAGTGCGTCCGCGCTTCCCGAGGTCCAACTTTGACCATAAATTTAATCAACGAGACCAACTGCGGCGGGAGAAAAAATTATATAATTGAAAACTTCTTTCGAATACGAATTCACTGATATAATTTTTGCTCCCGCCGCAATCGGTCTTGGTAGTTAAATTTACGGTCAAAGTTGAAGCACGTGGATAGAGGAAACACTACATTGTGGAATGGAGGGAGTATATGCATGGCCTTTGTGTTTTTTCATCAGGCATGTTTTCCCGAACAACAAAAAATAAATCTGTATCTCTCAAGCATAAATCTATAGGGCTTTTGTGTATTTTCATCAGATTTTATTTCATGAAGAACAAAAAAAGTCCATGAAAACTATAAATAGTTTATGAATCCAATTAAATATTCGACAATTTTAAAAGTGTGCAGGAGTTATTTAAAAATATTAAAAATTCAATTTTTCTCTCAAATATAAAAAATATTCAGGAAAAGGTTTATAAATTTTAAAATTGACCACGAATTTGGAAAAAATCGTGAATTATTTTTTTTCTTCAAATTAAAAAATTGTTGATAAAAGATGTTCAGAATTTTGAAAAAGTTCCCGAATTCAAAAAAGTTTTTTGAAATAAAAAAATCATCAGTCAACAATTTTAAAAATGAACATATTATTTGTAAAAAGTTCCAGCAACGTTTGAAATTTGCGAACAATTTTGAAAAATTATGAATATTTCTTGCTACTGGGAGCCAATTTATAAATTCTGAACATTGTAAATTTCCAAACACTTTTATAAAAACACGAAAACATTTATGGAGAAATCTTGAAAAAAATGGAATCTTGTTTTTTAAATGAATAAATATTTTGATTTAAATATATTTAGATATTTTTGGTTGTTTTAGTTTGTGATTTCAAAAAAAAGGAAGAGGAAAAAGAACACATAATAACAGAAAAACCAGTAGAAGCAAAAAAGCCCAGTTCAGGAACCTTGTAGATCATTCCAAAATTGGTCACGAACCTTCAAGACAATTCCTAAAACTAGTCGTCACCTCTCCATTGGTTCATGGCTTGCTTCACTTTAGTTCCTAAAGGGCCGGTCCATGTTCCTATGATAGTGGGTGATCGGAGTCTAAACACTCGCAGTGAGTGATACATATCATTCCGTGTCAATCAATCATAGTTTCGATCCTCTTTAGAAAAATAAGGTTTCGACCATAGGATCCCATAACTATTTTTTCTGGAAAAATAGAGAGTACATAATGTAGATGCAGAATACCAGATAAGCCTAGCTTTCTATCTATCCTCAAAAAACAGGCTAACTTCTCTAAAAAGCATACAAGCTAGCTGATATGACATACTAGCGTATGAAGAAAGGAACTGTCCTGGCACGAAAGCATGAAAAATACACCCCTGAAACTCTGTATAGATGAAGAAAGAATCACTCCCACCAGCCTAACTTCAATTAAGAGTAACTTCATGTGTTATGTCCTCAAACTTTATTTTGTAACTATCATAATCCGAGACTGAATCATACGGTTTATCCAAATATCATTTGCCTTAACCTTTTCAGTATGTGCAATCACTCCATCGTACTCAAAGGAGATGTATGGGAGAATGGAAAGGATTTTACGTTGGGTGTTGGCCATTTGATCAACAAGTCAAAAAAACGGCGAGGAGAAAGGTCAGGCTAACAGGGTGGCGCATAAGGTTGCGAAATTTAGTTTTGATAGCACGCCTGATGGTGCTTCTTGTAATAGTGTTCCGCGCTGCGTGGCAAACTATGTAATGATCGATTGTAAGAATCTTGTTAGTTAATTAATATATGGGTGGGGTTTAAAAAAATTGGCAAGGAGAAAGGTCAATGACTAAGACAATATTGAATGCACAAGAAGATAATTCACACTGATGCTCCAGGAAGAAATTTCACACAAATATGAAAGGAAGCAATTTCAATTCAACCAACAATAAAGAAATGCTCCCGCATGTTTGACGAGTATACTTTAATGTCCCCTTTTAAACACCAGAACCTGTATGGATTTAACTGTACTTCATACAAACTCAGGGTCATGACCAATCTTTTCATTGACTAATTTGGGTGCAAACAACGCCCCAAGGCCCCTTCCTTGTTTGATTGGCTCCCTCTTCTCTCACTCGATCATCATCTTATAGACTCGCCCCTTCCTACTTGTATTACCGCCAATGACCTCAATCTGCCGCCACTGGCAGCATGCATGACAGTTCCCCAATCAACTCCATCTCTCCTCCTTTGGTTTGGTTTAGAGGAATTTCATAGGAATTCTAGAGGATAGGATTCTTAT